CTGAGATACACAGAAAGTCTCAGATTAACCTGGGCTACATAATGAGAACATCTCAAAAATGAAAAAATTCAATTTATTTGATGTTATGTAAAATACACTGCCACATTGTAACATTATTATTCTATATCATTATTAGATATGTCATTTCTCAAACCACACATGCACAAGAAATTATTAAAAATAATTTTCTTTAGCAGTGATGATGGCACACACCTTTAATCCTGGCAAGCAGGAGGCATTGGAGCTCTTGGAATTGAAAAGCAGCTCAGTCTATTTCTACATAACCAGTCCTAAGCCAGCTAGGGCTGCAAAGTGAGACTTTGTTTCAAAAACAAAACAGTAACAAACAAAAAACACCCCTCCCCCCCCCCGTGGGGAAGCAGGAGCTGGGCCAGAACATAAATTGACTTCCATCACCTGAACCCACAGAAGTCAGAAGTCCGGTGTGATGTCTCACATCTATAACTCCAGCCCTCCTATGACCACATGGGAGGTGGAGACAGAAAAACTGTCCCAAAGCTCTAGTGTAAAATAGGCTGCAGTGTCACAAACAAGAGAGACCATACTTCAAAAATGCAATTCAAATGGCAAAAACTAGCTCTATTTTTTAAATTAATTTACTCATTTTTATTGCATATACAGTGTTCTATCTGCATATCTGCCTACACACCAGAAGAGGGCACCAGATCTCATGAAAGATAGTTGTGAGCCACCATGTAGTTGCTGGGAATTGAACTCAGGACCCCTGGAAGAGCAGTCAGTGCTCTTAACCTCTGAGCCATCTCTCCAGCCCAAGAAGTAGCTCCTGAAAACTACCCTCTGATTTCTATACCATGATAGTCATGTGCCACATTGTATACACATACATACAGGCATGACACTTGGCAGCTAACAATCTTTTTTCTGTTGTTTTTTTTGTTTTGTTTTGTTTTTTGTTTTTTAAGACAGGGTTTCTCTGTGTAACCATACATACAGGCATGACACTTGGCAGCTAACAATCTTTTTTCTGTTGTTTTTTTTGTTTTGTTTTGTTTTTTGTTTTTTAAGACAGGGTTTCTCTGTGTAACAGACCTAGCTGTCTTGGAACTTGTTCTGTAGTCCAGGCTGGCCCTGAATTCACAGATCCATCTGCCTCTGCTTCCTGAGTGCTACAATTAAGGCATGTGCCATTTCTTGCTCTTGCAGAGGACCCAGGTTTGATTCCCAGCACCCACATGGTGGCTCCCAACCATCTGTAACTCTACTTCCAAGGGGCCTGATGCCTTCTTCTGACCTCCAAGTACACCAGGAACACATGTATACATGTGAAAACAGGCAGGCAAAACACTCAGACACACACAATTAAGCATTCCTTTTTAAAAAAGAAAAATTAATCCAACTGAATTGAAATTTTTATGGTTTTTTTATCTTTTTACAACCAGAATTACCTATGGAATATTACTATGGGACACAAAACAATTTACCAAGTTTTGAAATTACAATGGACAGTGGTTCTATTTTCTGTTCAAAGAGAACTATCTGGACTAAGAAACAGATCATCCTAAACTGAAGCCACAATATGAAATTAAAGCTTGAAAACAACTTTTTAGGAAAAAGATCACAAAGTATTTAAACAGGGACAAATTAGTAAACTAGTTTCTACTAAAGAACACTATCATGTTGCTAAATCTACCTCAATAAATGCTATATTCAAGTATTGAACTAGCCCTCTTCCATTTTCTAGTTGTTAGAGCAGAGGACTGAAAAAGACACATAAAAACATAGTCTAAGAGTCACTCACACTAGGAAAAAACAAAACTTGCATAAATTAGGGATTTTTTTATTTATTGTGTGCATGTGTGTGCACTCTGTACACACATGCCAAAAACCACATTAGAGGACAACTTGCAGGTAGCCCTTTCCTTCCACTATGAAGGTTCAACGCAAACTCAGATCATTACGCTTGGCACACTAACCCCTGAGATATCCTGCCAACCCAATAAGAACTTCTTAATGGCACTAGAACTGCTGTTTTAATAAAACTTATACAAAGTAAAAGTCACTTAATTACAACATAGACACCCCCATGTACTCCCAATTTAACAAAAATTTAAGACTAACTGCAAATGTACCATGTATCTTTTATTTGAAAAAAAAATTAATGTAATTTACAGTACAGGAATATTTGGGGTTTTTTGGTTGTTGTTTTTTGTTTTTCCAAGACAGAGTTTCTCTGTATTGCTTTGGAGCCTGTCCTGGAACTAGCTCTGTAAACCAGGCAGGCCTCAAATTCACAGAGATCATCCGCCTGCCTCTGCCTCCCAAGTGCTGGGACTAAAGGCGTGTTCCCCCAACGTCCGGCTATACGAGAATATTTGTAAGAAATACCTAGTTTATGAAAGGGTTTTTTGAAAGATTTCATTTGGTCCTTAGCCATTACCTTTGTTTACGAAAGAAGCTGGGGTCCATATTAATGAGACAATTGCTGTACAACCTATACATTACATTGCTCAACACTACCAAACTTTTCCCAAAAGACTGAGTCAGTCCTGTTAGCTAAACTATTATTAGTTGTCTGAGACATTACCAAAGTTCTGAAAATCTTTTTCCTGCACAGTAAAAACTTCCACCTTCAGAAAGACTTTTCATTTGCCACATGTCTTGAACTGTGTGACATTAATTAACAATTATTCTTAGATTCCCATGACAGAATCTATTATTATCAGTCCTTTTTTGCAACCATATCAATGGAAATGCTGTGGCTGAGTTAAGTGATTCCTCTTAGTCCAACTTCTTCCCCATTTTTTGCTTAGCTGATGACCCAGAGCTCAACACTAGATATACCAAATCATCCCTAATATTTTTTTCTTTTCAATACTCTTACAAAGTAAGCACACTGGTCAAAATTTAAAGGAATGAAAGCTTATCTGCTATTCAAACTGCAATGGCACCCAAAATAATTATGGCTGCCTCTTAACTCAGTCCAAATAAACTCTAAAAACATTTTTACCACAAATTTCCCCTAAAATTTTCACATTTTCTCTGACAAATAAGTTACTATTATTTCTAAAGTATCCTAAAATTAACTTAAGGCATCATACTTTACATTTCCTTCAATAAGAATGTAAATATAGGGTGGTGGTGGTGTGCCTTTAATTCCATGCATTTGGGAGTCAGAAGCAAGTGGATCTCTGAGTTCGAGGCCAGCCTGGTCTACAAAGCTACACAGAGAAACTGTCTCAAAAAACAAAACAAACAAACAAACAAACAAAAGCAAAGATAATTTAATAACGAAATAAATACACTGGGAGCTTAATGTTTAAAGAAATTCAGCAAAAAGTCTTAATATAAAGTAATGTAATATGATTTAACCACCCTCCAATTTCATAGTTTAAAAAAATAGCCTTTTATAAGCCAGAGAGTCTAAAAAATGTGAACTGATAAAAAGAGATGTAGAATCAGGCATGGCGGCTAATGCTCTAATCCTAGCACATGAGAGGCAGAGGCAGGAGGATTTTTAAGAGTTCCAGGCCAGACAAAGCAACAGTGAGATGGTGTCTCAAAAGAGAAAGGTGAACATAAGAACGCTGTACTAATAACTGCCTACTTTGAAGAACTTCACACTTGGGTCTTTCCCTCGCTATGTAAATACATCATATCAGGAACTTCACTTCCACAGAGAACAGAAAATCAACTCTGCTTTCTTAGAAAGGTCATAGCTGTCTTGTCTTGTACAATATCCAGTCCACCCCGGTCATCTACGGCCAGATAAAAAGAAGGGGGAAAAAGAACTATTTGGAAAACATTTCTTCTGCCAAGGGCTGTGCCCAGACAAAGGCAATGTTCGGAGTACACAAATAAGCCTTCTCTAAGGGAAATAAAGTGCCAGAAAAGGAGCGGCGTGGATCAGAATTAACCAGGGAAGAGTGTTAGTGCTCGGTGTGTGAGGACTGCAAGCGACAGGCACAGCGCTGAGATGCTCCAGCAAAAGAACCAGCAGCAGGAAGTTTCAATGGGGCCGGGCAGAGCATGCGCCCTGCACCCGCGCGGTGGCCTTATGTGGAAGGAGCACCACTTGCGAACACCAATAATAGACCAGCGGCACCAGAGAGAGAAACATGAGCAACAAGCACCTTCTTCAACTGTTTCCCCTGCCGTCTGAGCCCCTCCTCCAGCCTACAGACTAACCACCCCACCCCACCCTGCAAATGGAAGAGTGACTTCTTCCCCTAAGCCCTGTTGCCGAGATAGGGGGAAGGGATAGAGAAAAGTGGGGAGATGCTTTTCTATTATTTTGGGGGAGGTGGCGAGGAGGAAAACTATGGAGGAGGAGAAATTAACCCTCTCCTCCCCAGAGTGGAGAAGCTCAGCCGACTTCATTTCCCCTTCCTAAGAGAGAATAGGGGGGGTAGCCCCCTCTCTGGGCGGAGGAGCAGATCTCCCGGAGGAGAGGAAGGAGTTTGGGGGTTAGACCAGCCCTCGAGGGAACGGGAAGAGGCAGGAGTCGACTCTCTCGGGGGAGTTCCCACCGCAGGGAGAGAGTGGAGTGTCCGCCGGCCCCCGCCCACTCAGGTGGAGTGAGCAGAGGGGGCGCCGGGAGAAGATGGGCCCAGCCTCCCCGGAGACGGTGGGGAGGATTGGTGGGAGGAGGGGAGGAGAAAAGCGCAAGGCTGGCCGGAACCTGCTCTCCCCCTTCCCCCGCCACCTAAAGGGATAAGGACTGGGGGCCAACACCGGCGCGGGGGACCCGGCCCCAAGGCATCTACCCGGCACAATGACCCCTCCCGAGCCCCGGCCCACACCCGGCCCGCGACGCCCCCACCTCCGTCCCCGCGGGGCACGGTGGCCCTAGGGGGCCTCCGCCCCGCCTCCCCAGCACCCAGGAACCCCCCGGGCTACGCGGAGTAGACTCCTCGGAGCCCAGTCCCTGGAGGGGACCGGCCGCAGAGCCCCAAGCGATCTATGGGGAGGTAGAGCGCGCCAGGGCCGCTTCCCGCCCGGCGTTCGGGCCGATCACTTACCTTCTCCGTTGCCGATGTCCGGCGGCGGCGCCTGCAGCACCCGCTCCAGCTCTGGGAACGGCAACTCGGGCAGATCCAGCAGCGGCCCGTAGCGTTCCAAGAAAGAGCAGACTACGGCGAAGTTGGGGCACGAACCCGGGCAGCCCGGAGGAGCCATCGCCGCTGCCGCCGCCGCCACCGCCGCCGCCGCCGCCGTCGCCATTTTGAACTGGAGGATGGAGGAGGGGGTGGGGGAGCGGGAGGAGTTGGGGGGCCGAGGAATGGCAGGGCAGCCTTACGGACGACAGGAGGCGCTCTCGAGTGGACGCCCCTGCGGGTGCGAGCGTCTCAGGCCGGGCGCCGCGATCCCACAATACCACGCCGGCCCGGAGCAGTCGAGAACTGAGTTAGATCGGGGACAGAGAGGCGCTCTGGGCCCCTTCACTTTCCGCCCTCTTCCCGTCCCCTTCCCTCTTCGACTTCTCCCCTCCCACTTCGGGGTTGCCACTGCCTCGTGTGACAGGGGGAATGAAAACAAGGGAAGCGGGGCGGAGAGGCGGGCTGCGAGCCTGGGGGCGGGACTTTCTGAGAACGCTAGCCAATGGGGAGGAGGGGGCGGGGCTGTGGTTGCCTGCTGAACGCAGGCTGGTTCCAGGCCTGGTAGCTGAGCGGCGGGGAGAGCTGGAGCGCGGAGCTGACCACAGGAGCAACCGAGAACAGAAGCGCTGCTGCGTGAGTTTTCTGCGGGACCTGGGAACGGAGACGATCAGGAGAAAGAGGGAGAAGTTGAACAGAGACACCAAGACGCAGAAAAAGAGAATGACGGGTGGGAATGCGACTGTGGGGAGAGGTTAGGAAATGTGGATAGATAAAGGTGCGGTTGTAGCTTGGCGCCTGAACATGGAGAAAAGTCTCTCAGAAAGTTTGCCGATGGCTGTTGCCCACTGCTGAGTGTTGTGTGACAGAACTTTTCCTGGAGAGACACTACACAGATCTCCTCAGCCCAGATAAGGCTCCCACAGACAGACCGAAGTACAGATAGCACCAGAGTCCAACTTGAGTTTTATTTTTCCATGAGTATGAGTGAGGGTTTACTCAGAGGAGCAGAAATGACTCAAAGACTACAGCATCACCAAGTCCCACCCCAGCATGAGTGACAGCTCAGAAAAGCTGGGAAACTTGGAGCACCCCTGCACAGCTTGCAGGCAGCTCAACAGGTTGGAGATTGTCGTTTCCAAGAGACTCTGGTGTGAACCGCTGGTGGTTTCCACTTCTTCCAGGCAGGTGGTCTGATCTCAGAGTCTTCTTCCAGCTCAGCTTCCTTCTGTCTGAGGCCGTCTCTCAGCTTTTATTGCTTACTCAGGCAGGGAGGGACTTAATGAATCTGGTCAGTTTCAGGGACTTCCTGAAGCTATTTTGAGTTATGTTCCTGTTTAAAGAGCTTCCTACACAACACTGAAGCACAAGAATCCCAGCAGTCCCCGGGGTGGGGGGTGGGGGTAGTGGGATCACTAGTGAGGAATCACCCTCACCGCCCACCTCTGCCTGCTGGGTGACAGAATCTGAGAAACCAGACTACTGGAAGTCTAAAATGCTAAGACTCTGGCCTCAGCTCAGGCTCTGAGGAGGTCTAGGTGAGGTGAGCTAGAACTCTACATAGAGGGCTGGGGGTTGGTTGGCAATAAGTTTGCTAGGAAGCGGAGTTCTACTCCATTGAGGACTCAGATGTAGCATTCTCCCAGAAAGAATCCCAGAGCTGGGGGGGAAGTCGTCGACAATGTAAAATAGAATGTGCTGCTTGGGAAACAGTACGCTATACGAGAAGCCACAATTTTGGATTGAGCCTGACCTGAGCCCTACCCCTAAGTATTTTATAGCCTTCTAAAGTTTCTTCATTGCTTTGAACTTCAGTAAAGTGAGTTGATAGTATCTAGAGCATGGATAATTCACAATGAAGTGGTTAGTGTAATTCCCTGCCACATTGTATGTACTTCGTAATAGTCCTTCTTGTCCAGGCAGGTGGTGCACTCCCCTTTAATCCCAGCTGACAGGGCCCAGAGGCAGGAAGAACCCTGAGTCCAGGCCAAATAGGCCTACAAAGTGAAATTCTGTTTCAAATAAACAAATCTTTCTTGTTATCAAAAAAAAAGATGTTCCTATAATTTAGATGGAACCCAGTGATGTTGAGCCTATTATTTGTTACTTTAAGCCAAAATTTTAAGGATGTGTTTAAAACTTACATATCTACTTCCTAAAACTAATATAAAGCAAAATATATTCTGAATCATATAAAATAAAATGTATGACTAAAGAAAGGTTTTTTTTACATTTATTTTTATTTGCATTGGTGTTTTGCCTGATGTATGTCTGTGTGAGGGTGTCATATCTTTAGACTTACAGACAATTGTGAGCTGCCATGTGAGTATTGGGAATTGAACTCAGGTCCTCCAGAAGAGCAGTCAAGCGCTTTTAACCACTGACCCATCTCTCCAGCCCAAAGAAAGATTTTTTTGTTTTTTAAATAGGCAGATAATTATGCCAAGAACATGGAAAATGGCTTCACAGAAAAGCACTGAATTTTGTTATGCATTTCCAGGTAAAAAGGGAAAATCATAAAGGTCTTTCTCATTTTCTTTACCAAAGAAAATTGTTTTTCAATAGGAAAAGGTTTCTCTAGGAGTAATGATTCTTTGAAAATATTGTTACTGTGTGCAGACATTTGTGCTACTTGCCTGCAGGTCAGAAGACAACTTTGTGGAATCACTTCTCTCCTTCCATCTTTTTTCTAATTTATTTACTATGTATACAGTGTTCTGACTGCATGTGTGCCTGCATGCCAGAAAAGGGCACCATGTGGTTGCTAGGAATTGAACCCAGGTCCTCTGGAAGAACAGCCAGTGCCCTTAACCTCTGAGCCATCTCTCCATCCCTCCTTCTACCTTTTATGTGCTTCAGGCATTGAACTCAAGTAGTCAGTCTCACGCTGCAAACACCTTTTCCTACTGACCATCTTACTGGCCATCTCTCCAACCCTCCTTCTACCTTTTATGTGCTTCAGGCATTGAACTCAAGTGGTCAGTCTCACGCTGCAAACACCTTTTCCTACTGACCATCTTACTGGCCATGTATATGCCTGTGTGCCTGTCTGAATTTATGTGCACTGCATGCATGCAGCTGCCCTTGAAGGCAAGAAGACATCAATCCCCTAAAATTGGAGGTACAGATGTAGGCTGGGAACTGGACCTGGATCATCTACAAGAGCAAGAAGTTTTAACTGCTGAGCCATCTCTCTAGGTCCTAGAGTAATGATTATTTTTATGGTATTATTTTTACAATTTAAATACATTGGTGTGTGCCAGTATATTATGTATTTCAAGGGTGTGTGTGTGTAATCCAGAAGAAGGCATTCGATCTCCCTGCTACTAAATATGAGTGCTAAGAACCAAACAAGGGGTTCTCTGGAAGAACAGCAAGCACACTTAACCACTGAGCCATCTCCTATAGTCAGACTTTCTTTTGGGCCGCCAGCGCACAGATAACACGGAGACTTATTAATTATGAAAGCTCAGCATTAGCTTAGGCTTTGTCCCACTAGCTCTTATAACTTAAACTAACTCATATTTTTATTAATCTACAGTCTACCATGTGACTTACCTCTCTCCCATTTTGTTTGGCCATCTTGTACTACATCTAGATGGCATCTTCTTCGTACCTAGATTTCTCCTCCTCTTCCTTTCCCTCCCCAGAAATCTGAACTATACCTCCTGCCTAACTATTGGCCCTTTTAGCTTTTTGTTACACCAGTCACAGCAAATACATCTTCAGAAAGGGTACAAATATCCCACACTAATCTCTCCATCCCCTGGAATAATGATTCTGTAATCTGATATTTAAATCCTCAAATCAAGAAAATATTTTGAGCCAGGCATGATGGTACACACCTGTAATCACAGCACCTGGAAGACAGGCAGTCAAATCTCTGAGTTCAAAGACCAGCCTGGTCTTCAGAGCAAGTTCCAGGACAATAATGGCTACACAGAGAAACCCTGTCTTGAAAAAAAGAAAAAAAAATAAGAAATTATAAACAACACTGTGCTTAATGCTGCTACTAACGTATTTACATGATTCTCTTCATGTCGTGCATATTTTACTACAGTAAGGTTTTTCTGGGTTTTTGTTTAAGTCTTTAAGAAAATATGATTGTGACAGGATGTGGTGACACACACAGGCCTTTCATCCTAGCACCAGAAGCCAGAAGCAGGCAGATCCCTGAGTTTCAGGCCAGCCAGGAGAGTGCAACTGACCCAAAAGGGGAGAAAGATGTGCGGCTGAAGCTGGCCCAGAGCTAAGAACACTCTTTCACATAACCTAGGTAAGATTCCAGGACCCAGTTTGGCTCTCAGTGCCTGTAATTCTCATTCTCAGGGATCAGTGCCCTCTTCTGGCCTCTGAGAACATCTGCACACAGGTAATCAACTACACACACTCAGGCACACACATTACTCATAAAATAACTTTTATTAAAAGAGACTATGGCTGTGGATTATTACTGGAAATGAAAATATGGATTTTAGGCAACCATTGAAGTTAGAAATATCAAACTAAGAAGTCTCAAACTACAAAATGTGGGGGTAGGGTGGAGAAAGGGGAACCTGGGAACCCAGCTGAAGAAAATCTGACCCAGAGGCCAGTGAGATGGTTCATTGGTTAAAGACATGATGACCTAAATTTGATTCCTGGAGCATACATGGTAGGAGAGAACTGACTCTTGCAAGCTGTGTTCTGACCTCCACAAGCATGTTGTAGCATGCATGCATCCTCATATATACACATGGAAACAAAAAATGTTAAAAGAAATAAAATCTGACCCAGAATACATCCTTATCAACATTTGTGTAACAACAACAAAAACAAAAATCTAAAATCTTTTGTATAGTCATTAATTTAAGCCAGAATTATACCTTTGTGAAAGAATTTCTGTGGAAAGAAACTTCAAAGGAAATGGGAAACTGTATTACATGTTATATAAACTTTTTCAGTTTTCTATCTTGGCTTTCATCTGTTTGTATTTCAGACAGCTACTGTCAATGCTGGCGTCTCTAACTGACTATGTGTGTGAGGCTCCTTGAACTCCACCTGGTTCTCCTCCCCACCTCCAAGTGTTAGAGGTGTGTCCCACCATGCTCTACCTCCCCATGTTCTGGGATTACAGGATCCAGACACTAAACCTTCAACTTTCAGCTTTTCT